TTTCCCGAGCCCTGGCGTACTTCTGATCCAGAGTCAGATAGCGACCACGACTGTGGTTGCTTATCTTCCTCTGCACTGCAGGAGGAAAGATTACTTCAATGACTCTGAAGGTGATGTGGAAGTCTGTCAGAGAACTGGAGGTCTTTGTTTCAGTCTGCTTTAGCCCAAAATGTTCTGTGTTGATGCTTTTGTGATGGTGTATGGTCTTAAAAAAAACTTTAATCCCAGCTAGAACTAAAAGTCTAAACATCAACAGCAAATCCTAGCAATTTTAGCAGATTTATATCAATTTCTGTGTCAGAAACTGTATCAGTGAATGTGTGCGCCTCTCCAGTGTGGGTACTTTGGCATGATTTTCCTGCGAAATACCTTCACTAGGTACTGAAACCCAGAGTAGGAGTCAGACCCGTGGGTGGTAATGTAAGCTCAACTTGCACTGCTCCACAGTGAATGTGGCTGACAAATCTATCTCCATCTTTTCTTGCTTGCTGAGTTTGCTGGAGACGAGGACACGCCCATGCAAACAGGGCGAACATAAGGATTCAATACGTGCAGAATCCTTATGCACGTGGTTTCCTTTGACGTATGGGAAACCACAAGGCCATATGTTGTACTTCTTGCTTCTTGGAAAAGATGAAGGCAAACTGAGAGATTAGGATCTTTTATTGACTGAAACACAATCAGAGGCCCACCATACCAGCATCTGCTGAAGGAAAGAGCAGAGCAATGGGGACCAAGCTAATTTAGCTTAAGTAGGTTATCAAAAAGAAGCTAAGCCTCCAGCCTAATTGCTCTCTGATAGGAGAGGCTAAAGATATCTGGCCTAATAATCGAACTTTATAGAATAATACCAGTCTGTTTGGGCAGCTCCCTGAAGGTACAAACATACTCTGACTAAAAAGACTAGAGGTAGGAGAAAAAATAAAAAATTGAGCCTTATAAAAAGGATTCATCAGGCAGAAAATTCAACAGAGTTTTTAATTTGGAAATGAAAAACTGAAAGCATTCCTGCTCAGACACCTGTAATCCAGAACCTGCACTGATTTAATCGCAATAAAATAAAAAATATTCTGTGAAAATCTGGAAGAGTAAAATTGAACTCGTTGGCCCACATCAAAGCCAATGCAGCACATGGTGCTACTGTCCCTTAACTAAGACGATCATTAATCAAAGTGACACTGAGTGAAGTGGAAGTAATCAAAGAAAATTGTAGCAGCACTAGACTGCATCCCTTTGCAGCCAATTGCAAGTCTGCACTGTTACAATTAAAAGCCATTACTGAGATACTTTTCTGTGAATCATTTTTCAATTGAGTTCTATACAATTCTACTTCCTCTTAAACTTCCCAGCCAAAGCTAAAGTGAATTTGACTGGACTGGACCCTTGCCAACCCATTTATCAGTCCGGTACCTGATGGAGGTCTTTTCCCAGAACAAATTCCTGGAAGTATCCGGGGGCGGCAGACGAGGCCCGGATGGCCTGCCACATCTTGTGTTTGCAGTCTCCAAGGTAGTGGGACCTCACTCCGGGCATGAGTCTGTAGTTCCTGAATACGAAGGCCTTCAGAGGCAAACCTCTGTTGACAATGGTGCTCACTGCTGCCACCTAGTGGACAAACACAAAGTTTAGGAGGATTTTGAAAATCTAAAAAGAAACCAATCCCATCTTACAGAAAAAAGGTTAAACATTCCCGAAAAAAATACATAAATGTATTACTACCGGTTTTAAGAAATATAATAATAATAAAATCTCTATTTACTTAAAATAAATAAATAAAAACTTACTTTGGGGCAGTGTGGGTCCCTGGCACTCTCAATCATGCGCACCTCACCCATACGTTCCCTACAGGAAAAAATAAGGGGTCACAAAACAAAGACAGCATATAAGCTATTTGTGTACGTTTGTGTAAGAATGATACACAAACTGTAAAGAATAGTTGGACAGAAAGGGACTAACTTGAGGATGCTTTCCCACATCTCGCTGTCGTAGAACGCATGGCTCCAGCCCATCTTCACAGTTCCAACGATGACGTTCTGTTTGAATATGTCTGAGCCCAGCTTTCTGTACATATCCTCGCACTCTTCTAAGGGGATCTGGAAAATCCCCAGCATGAAAGCCAGTATGGCGCCTGTAGCAAAAAAAATTTGAAGCAATTAATAAGTGTTAATTCCATCAAATAGTGGCTCCAAAAAGCTAGCAAAGCATACCAGTGCTGACTCCGCAGATGTAGTCAAACAGCTGATGGATACGTTTTCCAGTCAGGTCTTGCAGCTTATGAAGAGTCTGGAGGGCCAGCAGTCCTCTATAGACCCAAATACAAACTTTATCATTTAAAAGCATAAACAAACGTCAGCTTTGTTATTATTAAACCAACATACAGAGAGCAGCTGCTAATTGCCTCTTTAAAAAATTTTCCAGCTGTAACAAAGAAAATATGTTCAAAATTTTTTTATTGCACAGCTAAAATTAAAAGTTAATGCTTCTGTTTACATACATACTAATGTCCAAATAGGATTGTACTCTGTCTACTACAATAGGCTACAATTTACGTCTGTCGACTGAAATGAAAATGACATTAGGTTTGTTTGGTGTATGTGTTAATTAGGCTACAGGTTTTGGTTAAAACATCAAATGATGAGCCATTTTCAGTTTTCTGACACCGAAAGACTTTTTATAGTACATATCCTATAATATAAAAAACTTTGAAATGTGTTTCATTGGCATTTGATGTTCAATACAGTAACAGAGAAACTGTTTTCACAAAAGATTCAAGAGATTGCAGCATGTATCTTCAGATCAACGCTATAGGCATCTGTTGCATAAAGCCTCTATGCTTTTCTATTTCAAAAAATAAAGAATTGTACCTTGTGCCTCCTCCATCTATGGTCAGCACCCTAATTCCTCTGCCTTTGACTGGGTCTGTGTAGCCAACCAGCGCCAGAGCTTCCCTAACAGAGCCCTGAAGGGAAAGGTCCCTGGTCTGGCGCAGTCGCAGCAAGCATGGCAACAGGTTCTCCTAAGACACAGAAATAGAAATGTAAACCTAACAATCATGTGGCAGTGAAGCAAACTGCAGGAATCGTTAGAAAGCTGTGTGTCCAAGCCGACCTTGACTGCCACGCCCCGGGTCTCGGGAAACTCCAGGAGGTGAAAGCTGAGCTCCTCCACTCGAGTGGTGAGGAGCTCCATGTCGGTGACCCTCTGCAGACCCTTGACCAGGGCTCTGGTCCTGTTGTCCACGCTCACTCTGGCTATTATCTGACAGACAAATCAGAAAAAAATTAAATGAACACCACTGTGAATGGGGATGGTAGCATCGTGCTGTGTATGTTTTTGTTTAACAAGAAAAAGCTGCAGATTGAATGCTGGGAAAACGTATTAGAGGCTTCAAAAGATCCGAGACTGAGAACCAGAAGTGGAAAGAAAATAAAAATATAGCCAGCTACTTAACAAAAACAGGGCAAAATTATGTGTGCAACCTGGTAGACATAACCCAAAAGACTTGAACAGAAGTTGCAATTTTGTTTGAAACATGACAAAACTTTTTTTTTTTTTTGCAATAACTCTACCTTTTCTCTTTGACTTAGCAACTGCTGCTGCTTTGCCTTTTCAGCTTTTTCCTCTTCACCCTCGGTCTTCTCCACTGCTTTGTCTACTGTGCGTTCAGCTACACCGTCTGCGGTAGACTTCTCCTTGTTGATCGTGGCTTTTTTTGGATCGCCTCGAAACTTGGGAACAAAGGGCGCAATGTAGCTACCAACAAAGGCCTGGACGCTGGGCCGAGGGTACGACAGGTAGTGGGTGAAACCTTTTTTGGGGAAGGCAGACACAGTTGTGCTCTCATCAGCTTGGGAAGAAGCGGAGGTGGTCTCTTCGGCCGGACTGGGTTTTTCTGAGGGTGGAGAGGTAGTGGGCGCTTCAGTATTCTTGGTCTCGGAGACTGGAGACAAAACAGGAATGGCTTCCGTTGTTCTCGGGGTGCTGACATGCGGAACAGGCTCAAAAAAATGCTGCCTGTTCTCTCCATCTTCTCCGGGTGCGTTTGGACCAAAGTAACTGTTGATGTGGTTGGACAGAGTCTTGTACGTCTCGTCCATGTTTGCGGACAGAGCTGCTGGTTGAAACAGCTGCCTTGTTTGCTTTGCCACAGCCGAGGTGGAGCTCAGAGCGGCTGCGTTTGCTGCTGAAGCTGAGGTGGACAATGACTTTTTTTGGGCAACGAAAGGCTTCTCTGCAACTTGCTCCCTCTGCTCATCTCCCTCTGCCATTGCTCCATTTGTCCCACCTTCCTTTTCCTTCATTCCTCCAGAAGAGGTGCCATTAGCACTGAAGGTCTCAGCTTTCAGGGGGGTTTTCTCAGCGAGGGCACCGTTGGCTGCGGCACCAACAGGTTTGAAGCGGGAGAACCTGGAGATGAAGTCCGTGCCTCCCACTGCCTTGGTGACGCTGTCGATTGTGGACCTGAGCCGTGACATGCGTCTGACGACCCGCTGGGAACATCAGCAAAGAACAGACTGGGGAGAAGAGGAGAGGCTAAAGTATTTGTTTGGCATGATGTGGCATCCTGGCGGGTTTGTCTTCCATGATCTATGGTTGCTTTAGCTCCATTTTTAAAATAGAAAAAATGATTTGCACTGAAAGTTTCAAGAAGCCTTCATTTCCTGAAAGAAAAAACAACATTTTAATATTGTTGTTACACCAATAAGCTACAGTATTGGTGCCTCTTGATGTAATTCAAAAAATAAAACTTTTATTAATCATGCAATTCTAAAAAAAAATTTTTTTGGGCTCTAATGCATTTATAGCTAATTTTGTATGTATTTTAGAGTTCACAAATTGGTAGAAATTAATTGTATAAAAAAAGGAGAAAAAGAAAGAGAGAAAGTACTAAGTTGACATCTAAATAGTTTATATATTTGTATTGTTGTTACATAAAGAAGCCAGCAGAGGGAGACGTGTTCTACACCAAGTATTAACGTCACAGCAGCAGGTCCTTCTTCAGTAACCATAGAAACCGCGAATACAACAACACTGCAACGACAAAATGGAGCAAAATCTCCCTGGAACAAACGAGCCGGCTGAGCTCTCCTTACTGATAAAATCACTGCGGTTTGAGCGGCAGTTAAAGGAGGAACTTGAAAACCCCCCGCCCAGCATGATGGACAGCACTGTGTGGGGCTTATGCAAAGACTTCACCGTCGAAGGGGGGCGCTATAAGATTGCGGCATATATTAAAACCTGGGATATCAAGCCCGTTTGGGTCTACAACGTGGACTACCTTGGCACGGAACCGGAGGAGGACTTCAAGATCCACATCTACAGGGGCCTTTTCATGGCCCCTACCGCCAGAAAACCAATAGGGGACAGAGTCAACATCTACTTCGCGATGGAAGTGTCGAAAGCGGAGCCCGAAGCTCCGGTGGAAGTCCGCTTCATACTCGAGTCCCGGCGGCTCATACACACTCCGGGGAGGAGCAAGTTCAGCGAGAAGTGGCTGACCGACATCACCGAAACCAAGGACTTATTCCAGAGAATGATGGAGTCATAAATCATATATAACATTCAGTTATATAACTGGACTTTATCTCAGCTGAAACGACGGCACGCCTGTTAAAAACACGCCTATGTTAGATAAAACGGTTACAACGCACTGGCCATTGAGAGCTCGTTCAGAGGCACGACGTGTTGGCGTACTAAATAAAGCACACTGAACAGCAACATAGTCGTAAAAGTCTGTGTCGGCGAGTGAGACCGTACTGGTTAAAAATGTGTATATAAACTTTCTTCTTACCTCGTGAAACCTAAAGACGGTTTTCTGAAATGTTTCATTGAGTGTAGAGCCAGTACTTTCTGCCTCCACCTAAGCTAGTTGTGAATGATAAACAGGAAATGGATTGGTGCTCTTCTTTAAGGGAGCCAGATACAATAGATATTACTGCCACCTACAGCCCTGGAGGGAAATTAAACAAACAAACAAAAATGGCCAAAGCAATCACAATTCATTTAAAGGTATGGCACAAAATACTGAAGCCAGAAATTTTAGAAATTGTGTGGAAAATGTTAGAATTACTACAGCAAATGTATTACAGGATACCTTCTTTTGTTGATATTTGTGGATATAATGTGCAATGTCCTCTCCACTTCCTAGTGCATAGAAAAATTGAAAGAAAACCAGAAAATATAATCGCTTTAAAAATTAAAAAATAAATGGACACCAAAAATATGAGAATCTTACTGCTTAATTTAGCTTTTAACCCTAAAATTGGAATACTTCAAATAAAAGTGACAGCAAATATTAGAAAAAGTGATGGATTTAAACATTTCTAACGAAACCATTTTACGTATCCAATATATTAATTAAACGCAATCAGTAAAAATTTATTCATTTTCTCCTGTGTTTTGTTTATGCATTTGTTGCCTGTTGGGTGAATGAATTGAACTCTGAAATAGTTCAATTCATTTCAGTGAATGTCAAAGAGATACTTCTTATAAAGTTTGGATATTTGCAGTTTACAAAGTCAATTTAATGTAAAGAAAAGATCTAACTATTACCATCCTTTGTCCCGTAACATTGCATTGCATTGCATCAAACACGCATTACTGTCCAAAGTGGAAGTGCAGTTTTGTGATTTAGTATACCATAAGAAATCAGGTCAGCATGGATTAGCTTGTTATGAATAAATGGTATTTGAGCAAATCTTCAAAGAGGAGAAAATGTATTGGAACTGGTTCTATTGAAGGTATGTTTTCTACTGAATATGCCAATAGATGTAGACTGAAATATTGTACATAAAGATGTATAGTTTTTTCATTCACATGGAAAAAACCCCCCCAGAACTAATCATCAAGAAAATTTAATTTTAAAAAGTTTTCATTGCATATTTAATGTAATAATAATTCTACATAAATAAATCAGTTTCACTTACAAATTTTAATAGATTTAATATAACAAGAAACAGGCATTCGCTACTTTGCGATTATTACCTGCAAGATTTTTCTGAGCACCTAAAGAGCCTGTTTATTTCATGTGTGGAAAAAGAAATCTCCACTTCAGAGGCCCACACATAAATTTCACAGTTCATAAGACGGGTCTGCTCATATTACAGTGATAAGAGACAGCCAGAGTCTATACTCTTTGGTGGGAATATCAAAAATAAATCCCTGAGCACTGATGGTGAAGGTTCACTTTAAAATGAACTTTAACACATGGACCAAAGAAGACATATCACTTTGATCGTGCCATTTATAGCTAATTTTGTATGTATTTTAGATTTTACAAATTGGTAAAAAGGGAATGGAATGGAATTGAAAACGCTTTAAAATGTTTTAATAATAATACATTATTATGCAGTAACCAAAAAAATAAAAAATAAAAATCTAAAATTATGATGTTTTGTAGTGCTAGGAAAAAGTGTTATTTACATATTGCAGAAACAAAAAAAAAAAGCTGAAATTTTTATTTGTTTCTTTAATGATAAGGAATCAAGTGTTAAAAATGAGGATAAGCCAAGCATGTACACAATGTTTAAGCTTAGTAAAATAGGAATAATTCATATTCTCACGATTAGAGCTTAATGTTATCACAATTCTTTCCGCTGAATTTTTTTTCCTGGTCCTTGTCCATCCATTTGTCAATATATTGTATATTGGATAATATGAACCATATTTTCCAATGGAATCTATATTTTACACTAAAAACAATAAGAAGTTGTGACCTCTGAGGGTTAGAGTCGATACAAGGCAAAAATATATAAATAAAATAGAATAGCCCAGAAAATAAGCAGCTGATTTTTGTACAGTAGGAAAAATGCTTGTTCTAAAGCTCAAAATTACATATAATGATTTATTTTACTTGGCATGAAACAGGAAATTGCTATAAGATTTCTGAGGTGTTACTCACTTTGCATGACCTTGTGTTTCATGCATTTTCCTCCTAATTTGAGAGATTTGCACAGATAAAATTGCCAGGGAAAGATTGATGTAAAGACTAAACACACGCTGTTCAAGAAGCAAATTTCTAAAACATTTCTGCTTATCAATTTACTTCTATTTAAAAAAATAAAAATATGTTTTAGAAAATTGCAGAGATTGATTCTCCGAAAAGACATTCCCGTTCTGTAAAAGCGGTGTGTGAATAGCTCGTGAAAAAGCTGTTTGTCTTATTGATTTTCAGAGAAAAAGCAAAGTTTGATAAGTTCTTAGAAAGTAAAATCTTACCAAAAGTAACCAAGAGAGGAGAGAGAGAAAGAGAAAGATAGAGAGAAAAATGCAAATTCTTCATTCACAACACCAACCTGCCACGAAATAGAGTACAGATTAAGAGTCATTTGTCATGAGTGGAGAGTCACTGCTCCATAGCGGGGAGGGACTGAATTGAGTTTCATAATCCTGTTCTATCAGGCTTCTCAGTAAAGCTGGCACGAAACGACAAAAGCCCACTCGGTTGAAATGTTCAAGTAACTCTTTTAGCCGTCTAATCAAAACAGATTAAGACTAGATCCCAGCTGACTCTTTAATGGAAATCTCGAATCAAACATTTGCTTAATGGAAACGCAAACTCTCTGTGGCTCAAGGGTCACAATTAGTCATATTTTCTTCAGCTTTTATTTCTTTTTTTTAAAGTCTGACATTTAGGCAAATGCGCCTTGTAGTAGAAGAGTGACTGACGTTTTCTCTGAATTTCAATCAAAAGGTTCTGAAAGTCAACATCAGAACTCTTATGATAACTTCAAGCGCAATTAAAGCCAACAAATCCACCCGTCATTACTGTGATTCGATAGACTCTCACCCAGTCGCCTCTTTGGATGCAAATAAAATGGCCGAGCTGCCACTTACTGGGAGGAGGAGAGTGAAAAGGTTTCATTATATGCTGCTAAATAAACAGCAAGTTGCATTCTCCTTGAAGGCTCAATGCAAAAGGCTTTTTATGGACCCGGCCGATTTTAAATCCACTTTGCTGACATGCTAATGATCAGGAGTGATCTGGAATAGAGAAGAGCGAAGGAGAGGTGGGATTCTGAATGAAACAAACACCATGTTGTGTGTCATTGTAAAGGAGGAGGAAAAGTATTCAAAAATGTTACAATGCAAACAAAACACTATGGTATTTGGCCACTTTTATCCTCTGTTCATACAAACCAATTGCACTTAACAAGTAAAGAGCTAAGAGGATCAGTTTGCAGATTACCTCAAGTCCATCCCTCTGTGGGGAGGATCTTGTTCAGTTCTTGGTGAAGATGGATCCAGGTAAATACAGGAGAATGAAACCTGGCAGAAGCACTTTAAACCCGGGCAAAGGTTCACCTCACAGCCGGGCTGCACAAAGAGCCGTGTAGATCACAGGGTGTTCAAGTGTGAGAATGGCCCAGTCAAAGTAATAAAATCTAACAGAGAATGATGTCAGGCAAGACTTCACATTTACTGCTTTCCATCCAAGCTACATAAATTCAGTATCTTGACGTGACAAAAGTTTTTCCTTCCTTAATTATGTACTACTTTGTGTTTATCACACAATCCCAATGAAATGCATTCTATAAATATGGACATTATTTTGTTGAAGGTTCAATGTTTGTCACTCAAGTAAATCGTGATGATTTTAAACATTTATGTCAGTTTGTGTGTTGTATTAGTGGTAACAGTGACATTAGTCATACTTCAGACCCCTCCTCTCTCCTCTCCTCTCCTCTCACAGTCACCTGCGACGCGTTTCGTTTGTGCTGCGCCAGAAAGGCAAAGTCCCAATTTTTATTCTAAAAAAAGAGCTTACTGATTTCGAGCCACTTGGGAACGACAATAGGCTATATCAATTTTTCCCCCTCTTGATCTAAATGGATCTCAGCAGCAGCAGCAGCAGTCCCGCGATGGCAGCAGATGAAGACGAAGCCGTCCGTTTTGCGCTCCTCAGAGCCGGATTCCTGGCGTTAATTCTTGTGTTTGCCACATGTGGCAACCTTTTCTTCTTGGTCACCCTGTGGAAGAGGAGGAAGAGGAACTCGCGGACGCAGCTCTTCCTCTTGCACCTGTGTCTGGCGGATCTGGTGGTGGCTTTCTTCCAAGTCCTGCCGCAGCTCTCCATGGAAATTACGCACGGGTTCCGCGGGACGGACTTCCTCTGTCGCCTCGTGAAGTACTTGCAGGTGGTCGGGATGTTCGCCTCCGCCTACATGATTGTGGCCATGGCTATTGACCGCTACCACGCCGTTTGTAAGCCCATGGTCTCCTTCCTGGAGGGCTCCTTCAGGAGGTACATCTCCATCGGCGCGGCGTGGCTCATCTCCCTCGTCTTCAGCTCCCCGCAGCTCTTCATCTTCTCCCTCCAGGAGGTGGAGGCGAACCTGCACGACTGCTGGGCGACGTTCGCCGAGCCCTGGGGGAGCAGGATCTACATCAGCTGGATCACTCTGGCGGTGTTCGCGCTGCCCGCGGTCATCCTGCTGTTTTGCCAGATGAGGATCTGCACAACTATCTACTTCAACATGAAGAGGAAGGCTCTGCAGTCGGGGCGCGCGGGCACGAGGGGCGTCTCCAACGCAATGCTCAAGACGGTGAAAATGACTTTCGTGATTATAATGGCGTACACGGTGTGCTGGAGCCCCTTTTTTGTCGTGCAGCTGTGGTCGGCGTGGAGCCCGAGCAGCGCGCCGACGCAAGGTTGGTTTCGGGGCTTCAGCGGGGCCGGATGTAGGATGTGGGCCCCTGGGCTGCAGCCATTCTTTGAGCGCACTGTTCTCCTGCAGCTTGATTAACATTTCTAGGACTTTTGAAAACGAAATTTATCTCAGTTCCGTTGAAAGACGTTTCTAGAAGTCATCTTGAGCCATCAACAATATTCATCCGAGAGTTAATGAATTAGTTTCAGTAATTTAAATGAAATAATATATTTGCAGATTCGTTGTATATTGAATGATAAACGTCATTTTGAGCACAATGGAAGCATTGAATGCTCAAATTTCCTGGTTCATAAGTGACTAAAATCAAGGAGAGTGGTATTGGTGACCTGGATTCGTCCTCTCCAAGCTGCACTTTCAAAATTGATATTGCTAGTGCACGTTTTTCTACCACATGTTTTTCTTCCACTCAATTTTACATGAGTGTGCTTAGTTGCAGTACTGTGCAAAGGGGCTTCTTTAGCACTTTCTGAGGCTTTCTCTCTGTGATGAGCGGTGTCAGCTGGATAACTGTTAACTCAGCAGACTTCTCCAGAAACAAGACATTAGAGTCTCGAAACACTGATCTTATGTAATATTCAAGTCATCTAAGAGACTGCAGGAAGAAATCACTGTGCAATGAATCTGTACATTACTTTTATTATTAGCTGACTTGAATAATCTTTTAAGTAGCTACAGCATGATTGTCGTTACATCAAACAGGAGGACGGCCTGCAGCAAGTGCATAAAGACGCCCAGGTTGTGAGTGTGACATCAGTCTTTCATCACGTTTCCTCTTTTTTATCTTGCAGGTCCCATATTTTCAATTATCATGCTGCTCGCCAGTCTCAACAGCTGCACAAACCCTTGGATATATCTTTACTACAGCTGAGAAACAAAACAAAAAAAAACTCTCAATTGAACAGCATAAGAAGACGAGAAATAATTACCAGGATTTCTACAGATTCCCACCTGTGACGACTGAGGTGAAGAGGTTCATTTGCTGAACTGCATGGGGAAGACTGTGAGGAAGAAAGGCACATCTGCTTGTGCTCTCTGTTGGCGAAAAGCATCCTCTCGCTCCTTTGTGCAAAACAGAGAGAAGTGTATAATTAGCAGACTGCGGGGAAACCGACAGACGAACGGAACGCCAATATATTCAAACATGCTTTATCTTTTCAGAAGGCGCTGCAGTGGCTGGATGGAGGATTGTCTCCTGCTGGACGACGATACAACAGAAACGAGCAATCAGAGACTTAAACATTTAGCACTTTCTGAGGCTTTCTCTCTTTATTCTTGTCGGTGTTCAGGTATGGGTGAACAGGACGTGTGGAGGCCAGGAGTAGAAACTGGCATGTTAAAATTCAGTTTTCAGACATAAGTGAAAATAAATTGACTTGTTTCTGGAAATTCCTGACATACATTCTGACTTCCACCTACTTTAAAAATGTTTTGTCTGAAAGGTTTTCTGTCTGTCTAACCGAGGCAAAGCTCTGCATTTATCTGAAGTCAAATCAGATATAATTGTGAGTCAGAGTTTTGTTCTCGGTGCAACCTGAGAGCCTGTGGCATTTTGTTTTATATCTGCTTCAAATAAGATTAGCTATCTGATGCAGCCAAAATACAACTGTGACTAACTCAAAGCCCGAGGGTGGAGAAGTGGGAGATGAATCCTGCTGCAGGTTTGTGCTCATGTAATTGCATTGTATAAAACCATCACTACAGGCTTAATGGGAGGCGGAAGAAGGGGCTTACTGAGATGCCCGTGTTTAAAGGAAGACAGCAATTTCTTTCAAAAAGGCCAGAATATGAAACCATAGAAGTGACAGCTGATGAGACGTCCTTTGTCGCGCAGTGTTCACCCTTTGCTTCTTTCAGCTTTAGCGTTGATGCACACTGGCCTCATTCTGAAGCCCGCTTGAAAATGTTTGTTGGTGAATTTTAAGTGAAGGATGCAGAAAAAAAAAATCCTTTTATGATGCATCCTAAAAGATGTCATTACAGGAGACATGGCTGTCAATATATCCAATCCAGGCTTTTGATTAGCTGTAAACCTACTTGCAATTTCTTCCGTCAAAAGTTTCTCCAAGTTTTCCAAGACCTCAGCTTGACCTCAGCCAATTCTGTTAGCTGTTTTTTTCTTTCTTCTACCTAATCGAATTGCAAACAGGCGGAAGCTGCTTCCTGGAAAAGCCTCGCTATCTTCCTATGGCCTTGTCATGCTTTGTGGGCATCAATTATTCAAATTTCCAAAGTGTTAGGCAGAAGCTTGGGGGCGCCTAACACGGCTGGTGACTGCTGATTGAGCAGACGCAATGTGACAAGAGTATTTATACCGGATTTATAGACACCTGGGTCTTAAACTTTGAGAAAAACATGCAGTAGGGAGAAAAATTAATCAAAATGATTCATTCTTTTAACTAGTTTTTGTACCAACATGTCACAGCTGTTGTATTATTAAAAAAATTGCAGCATCCCTTGACCATCCTGTGGTCAAGGGATTCATGACACATCGGCTGTTCAATTAAAAATTACATCCCCAAAACGTGGGCCAGAAAAAGTGAGATTTTTCATATCAAATCTCCGCAGCTTTCTTGGCTTCCAAATTTCTCGATTAACAAGTTCAAAATAAAAAGACAACTTAACTTAAACGTACACTTAACGGAAGTAAGCAATTAAGGAATTAACACCTGTACAGTCTACAAATATTTCATATTCAGATCCCAGCGGCCCATCAAAACCTTCAGAGGAAGTGAATGAGGTCATGATTTTCAAGACAATTATTCCTACAGTGCTTTGAGACTCGACGCGGTAGACAAAGAAAGAGGTGAAATGGTGGTCACCATGGTGACTAGAAAGAAATAAAAGTGTGGAAAACATTTTTTACATTTCTCCATACTCTATTTTATTATGACTGACGGTCATACAGACAAGAAAAGTGGCGAAATGAATAGTTTTCCTAACACCACATGGACAGCCTGACGAATTGATGAGTGCAGTCATCAATTTTAGCTGAATAGCTAAAATGGATTTAAATCGTCTTGTAGATTGGTGTCGGGTTGTAAAATGAAATTTAGGACCCTTCAGAGAAAAAAGTGAAATGTGCAGTTCACATTTAAAAAATATAGATGCATCAATAAATTACAATATGTGTCCTGATAAGGATCATTTGTCAGGATAAAAGTACCTTTTGAAAATTGACAACATTTAAGCAGGTATGAAGCATATTTTTCATTATGACTACATTTTTATATTAAAAATGTTTCTTTTAAATTGGTCTGATATATTTTAATTACAAATTTCAGCATAATTAATTAAGACTTTAAAACATCCATCTGTGTGTAATTATTATTATTATTATTATTATTATATAATGTTTTACTAAGCGATAATGTTCTTGAAATAAATGGACTTTTCAAAAATATTCTAATTTGTCCAATAGGCCTGTACAGCTGTTAAGCAATGAAAGTGAATACAGTGCCACCACGTGGACATAATCAGACCAGCACCTAAAGTAGCATGTTACAGAAGCTGTTTCACCCAAGACAAATAATTGACCAAAATTAGCAACAGCAAAGGCAATAATAACACAAGTCAAATGTCTAAAGATCAGAGTAAAACAGATGACACATAATCTTCTAAAATTTTCTGCTTTTCTTTAAAAACTGCCCCATTCCTCTTCAGGAGTGAAATCTCATTCTCTAAAGTGTGGATTTTAGCCACAGTGTTCTCCTCTCTACGGTCCAGTTCCAAGATCTTTGCGTGCAGACTCAGGATCTTACTCCACAACTCGTCTTTGTCGGTGTCCGGTCGGCAGTACGAGTGCTCGTGGACCAAAGCGTGCTCTCTGTCGCTGGGCTCGGTCTCCTCTGCAAAACTCCCCAGAGATTCGTCTCTAATCAATTCCACGGGCACAAAGCGAAAAGTCTGGCTCTGGTCTGCTGCAAAAGAAGCGCAAAGTGCATGTTCCTCACCGCTGGAGGGAAGGCCAAGTGTCTCGCAGCACAACACGGTCACAATCGAGTCGGTTTGCTCTTTGGAGCACATCGGTGGTGTGAGGCAGGGCATTGCTGAAACTCCACTGTCACCCGTTACCTCGCAGACAGTAGTGTGCATCTCAGGTAGACTTGACTGAGAAGTGACCCCTGATTCTTGGAAGAGAGGGACTTTGAGCAGTATCGCCGACTGTTCTTTAACAGGTGGGCGCATTCGACTGGTATCACACTCAAAGTCCTCAGCCTGTGACGGGGATGTGGCTTCAGGACTTCTCTGAAGGGTAACCTTGTTCTCACATTCCTTGGATGAAAAAAAAAAAAAGGAATTGCATTGCAGTTAATTCACAGCAATGCAACACATGGATCATATGCAGTGTTAAACATCTGAAAACTCAAACAAATTTTCTTTAAACATTTGTTTTCTTCATGGAGTTTACTACATACATTCTCAATAGAGGGAAAAAGGGTGGGAATAGCTGTATTCTTCAGATATCGGATGCCCCAGCGAATATCAAAGCAGTCCTCTGTGAAGTGCTCGCTGCAGAGATACTGATGTCGACTTGGGGTCCACTCCCCCCGCCTCATGTTGTCCACCCATGTTTGGAGCCTGGTCTTGTCCTGCAAGGGAAAACTATGCAGAAGGAGAACAAAAGGAGAATGAAAGATTACTCTGAATTATGAAACTGAAATGAGCCTCTCAGACAGTCAAACACACTATACACCTTCCCTCCCCCCTTTCAAAATAAGTTCATTTTAACTAAGTGATACTTTACCTGAAAATAACAAAGCAAATCCAGAAGCTGATTGCAAGTTATACCTATATGATCTATTGTATTCTGGCATGTAGCTTTAAAGATGAGTATTAGCAAGCAACTCGGTTAATACTAGTAGTTTATTTCAATCTAGCACAAACATGTCACTATAAGCAATTTACAACGGTGATGATAAAAGCCTAATTAAAATAGCCGGGGGGGCGGGGGGGGGAACTACAAAGAGAAAACTTACGGGTAAAAGCTGATTTTCTTGTCTTGTTTTGATGAAGTCCCTCCACGGTTTCGGCAAAGCTTTTCTGCGCAGTATCGGGGCATCTCCTCTGCGAAGCCGCATGGAAACACCTCGACACGACGCGTCTAAGGATATTTTTAACGCGAAAAATCTCGAAAAAGTCCACTTCCGGTATGCATTCCGAATGGCGGAGGTGACGTTTATTATTTTATTTAGCCAACACGCTGGGTTGAATCCTTCACAATCAGCCGGGGTGATGATTGGAGTGGAATTGAAAGGGTATCTTAAACGGAGGGGAAACGCGCAGAGGATACATGTCTATTTGTTGTCACGAATTAAAAAGGTAACAGATAAAAATGTGCTAAAAATGACACCGACATCTTCAAGTTGAAGCGGAATTTGAAATGGTTAGCAAACTACAATCATCCGGCAAGCCTCGTTCCCGCCTCGCCGGTTGACAAATCGTGCGCACCCACCGCATAGTTACTCGACAGATGCGCATTAAAACATTTACATGTAAAAATAGGGATTGAAAAACCCAAGCAAATGTAACAAAATAAAAAATGGCTTAAAGAAAGAAAATATATTAGTTGTCTAAAGCTGCACGGAAGGGAGAAAGGATGCAGCACATTAACAAGAAAAGGATTATAAGCGTCAGTTTTATTCAACAACATATTTAGAGCAAAAGGCTTAAGAATACTACAAATGTAAGCTAAACAAAATTAGAATATATACTCTGTCAAATAAGATGTTCGACTTTCTCTAATCTAAAATTAGCAATGCAACCCGAAAACGGAAGCAAAATACCGGTAATTATCTTTTACCGCTACTCTTTTCAGAGTCGTTTCAGTAAAGTCCACTGCTCTCCGTCCTCAAGCCTCCACGTGCGCAAAATTCCCACCAATCACAGCCTTCAGAGTCAGTGGGTTCAGTAACGGACCAATAGGAATGCGAGTCGTGTTGTTGAGGCTCAGGAATGTTTGTCGTCAACAACTGCTGGGTTTCGTTTCGCATCAGCTGGAGCTGTTGGCGGGTGACAAGAAGAATTCCCGAGGCTGTTCATCAATTCTTCTGCAGGTAATTGCTCGGATTTCAGAAAAAAACCCAACTCCTAGTGTACAAGGGGGCTTATTAGTGATTGAAAAACCAAGAAATATGTTTTCAATAAGGTTTGTTGCTGTTAAAAATTGATCGAAAGTTTCGAGTCTGTTCCAGAGTCCCCATCATCAGCTTATTGGCTCTGTTAAAATAGCTAGCGAAAATGAAAAAAAAAAAACAAAAACAAAAAAACAACAACTTTAACCAACGTTTACCTGCTTTAACTTTCTGTTATCCAATGTTGAACTTCGACGTCAATTTTAAACGTTATATATCCGGGTACTCGTTCTGCTTTGACAGCTAACGGCTGTGAAAACCGTCGGTATGGCCACGGCGCAGTCGGTGCTGCTGCTCGCAGTTCACGTTCTCCTCATCTCGGAGTTCATCCTGGCCAAGAGGGACTACTATGAGATCCTGGGGGTGCCCAGAGACGCCACGGAGCGCCAGATCAAGAAGGCTTTCCACAAGCTGGCTCTGAAGTATCACCCCGACAGGAACAAGGGCGCAGACGCAGAGGCGAAGTTCAGAGAAGTAGCAGAAGGTAACGGCGATTCAAGTTTTTTTTTCTTCCCTCTGACGTTTTGTTTACAGTTTTTAAAGGTACTTTAAAATGCTGTCGTGAAAGTCGACTTAAATGGTGACCAAATAGTCTTTATCTGGAAACTTTTGATATTTTGAAACAGGAAATGTGCAGAAACATTAGTTCAGACACAGTAGTTAAAAATCCCAGTCAAGAAGAGTGAGCTTTTATTTAAGTCTTTAATTTGTACATTATCAGTTTGAGACAGGATGAAATCTTTTCAGAAAAGGTATTTTCTTCTTATTAATTAATTACTTTTCTTCACACAAGTCATCTACATTTTAAGCTAATGTATTCCAAGTTTTTTTTTTTCCCCCCCATGGCTTTTCTTGAACTTTAGAGTTCAACAAAAGTATTAAAAGTGTTCATACTTCATAGTTTATCCTCCCATCAACTGACTGGCTCCTCTGCCCTTGCTAAAGAAAGACATCCCCACAGCATGATGCTGCAACCGCCGTGTTTCACCAGGCAGTGGTGACATCACATTTCAATCTTGACCTCATCTGACAAAGCAGCCTTATCCTCCCGCACATGATGTGCATCAGAGCTTAATTACATGAAGCTCTTGTTGAACGCTCTACTGTGTGTTGATAGTAAAATACCGATGCTTACTTTACGTCCGTTTGCTTCTTTTAGCTTATGAAACGTTATCGGATGATAAGAGGCGGCGAGAGTATGACCAGTTTGGCCCCTCTGCCTCATCAGGAGAAGCCTACCGAGGAAGTAGAGGAGGCGGCGGCGACGACTACAACTTCAGACAGCACTACCAGTCCTTCAACTTCAAATTCGACGACATCTTCAAAGACTTTGACCCGTTCGGTCAACAGCACCAGCAGCACTTCCACTCGCATCATCAGTCGCACCAAAAGAGACACTTTGACAGCCACTTCCAGGCTCACAAGGAGGCGATGAACCGGCAGCGGAGAAGCTTCGGCGGAGGAATGTTCGACGACATGTTCGAGGACTTGGAGAAGATGTTCTCCTTCAACAGCCACACTTCCAGGACTGAGAGCAGATTTCAAGGCTCGGCCAAGCAGCACTGCAGGACGGTGACTCAGCGCAGGGGGAACATGGTGACCACCTTCACTGACTGCTCCTGAGACGAGACGAAGGATGAAGAAAAAAAAAAAGTAAACATGTTGGGAAGCTGCACAACTTTTAGTTGCGGTGTTGAAATCGAATTGAATGCTAATTTATCTCTTGGTGTGGCTTTTGTAACTCGTGTTTTTTTGTTTGTTTTTTTTTCCCAGCAAATATCCAAGCTGGTCAAATTAGTGGCTGTTCTGAAGCAATAACAAATCCACATTTTTGATTATAGCATGGGAATAAGTCTTAGGACCATTCAAAACCCTTTCCTTGTTTATCGTGTTTGTTTCGGTTTATTATGACTGTACGGTTCCGACACTCAGGTACGGCCTACATTTAAACCATAAAAGCTTGTTTTTCGTCGAGGGCAGGAAGGCAATACGAGTTCTCGAAAACAATCATTGGTTCAGCAGCTAATCGGGCCACTTTGCTTTCAAACTTTGAAACGACAACAAATTCCTCTTCCAGGAAATGTAGCTGGAATGCAAGCAGGCTGGCCGTCATCAACAGTTACCTCATTTGAAGTTTCTTCCTGCAGAGATGCATCTCCTATCACTCAGTCAGGGTCAGGAATTAACATCAGTCCCACGATAAATCCTGGGAAACGGCGGCACGGGCAATTTATTGCTTCGCCCGCTCGTTTCTCAGTCAAGCTGGATGGTCTGACAGGTTAAGTTTCCCAAACTGATAAGAATGTGCAATACTTGGCACCTTTGCGCTTCATGTTGCCTATGTTTCAAAGACAGTGCCCTGCAAATGTCATTGTCTTACATTTGCACTTTGTATGTGTGTGTGTGTGTGTGTGTGTGTGTTGACTGCGAAATGTTTGGAAAGAAATTAAAACATAAAAGATCAAAGAATTTGTCTTTTCTTCCCTCTGTGACTAAATTAGGAACTCACTGTGTAGGTTATATATGAAAGCACTAAGTTACAACAGAAATATGCTACTTTTAACAGACCTAGATGTAGTTTTTATGGTATATTTTTATGCAATGAGCAACTTTTCTTCTCTCCAAAGAGCACAAAGGTTTATAATCCAACTGTTGTTCCAGACAGTTCCACCAGAGGGCCCACTTTCTTAAAGCTAAAAAAAAAAATCTACATCTGGAATAATCTTCTAACAGAGGCCTAGAAAAAGCAAATACTTTTTGAGATGTCAAAAACAAATTATTTTACCTACATTTTCTTTTTTGATGTTTGGTTCATTTGGCCAGATTCAACCAAAGTGACAAGGACAAAACGGGAGCAAATAAGCTCTTAGCACGAATCTTTTAAGTAAAGGTAACTTTGTTTACATCTCTAATATTTCACTTAAGCCCAAAACTTCTGTCGTCATCACAATCCACATAAACTTGAATGAAGCACAACTTAAGCCCATCACTGTGCTCACAAATTCTCTGCTCCGACTCCCACGAACCAGAAAGGATAAAATTAGCTGAAGGAACTGCACATGACCAGGAGGAAGAACATTTCGCCTGAAACCAGTGCAGCTGATTGGTCATGAGGTCCAACCTAAAAATTCGGTTGCATATCTGTATGTATATGTTGAAAAATATACAAGTATATGAAAGGCCCGTTAAAACTGCTTGGTCATCTCGGCTCTGCCACACCTAAACCATACTCAGCTATTGTAAAATAGATACGGCTGCTGCTCTGAGAGTTTTACACTTTTACAAGATAATTGCTGAGTCATTACAGATCTGCAAACTGGCGCGTGGAAAAGAAGTACCACACACAGTTTGAAAAGAATGTAGAACGAGAGAAAAAAAATTAAATCAAATTTAGTAGCACTGAAAATTTAGGTGATATATAGACAAAAGATAAAATACAAATTTGATAATGTTTCTACAAAACTTAAACACCACACTATCTATGTTTTGTCCTTTATCACATTCTGAACTTCAAGCTACGCAAACTATAAGCATAACTGAACCGCCTGTGGGCTGCAGGTCTGAGGCGTTTTGTAAGCACGTTCTCTATCATTTTTGTAGCTTGATAAGGAAACTTATCCAAACTGGCAGCCCACATCAATAAAAGGGTGAAATATTATTGACCACAAAACGCTGTATTTATAAAAGATATCCATGTTTTTCCAACACAATCCTAACAAACGTTTTTAATGCGGGAAAAAAAATGGTTCCTCTTCTCAATATTGATTAATCTGTTTGTGTGATTTGTTCTTTAAATTGTCATTTGTATTATTTTTTTATCTCAGGAGATGATTGAGGGATGAAGAGACTGATGGCTGGCCTCGTTAGGCCACTAGATTCCCAGTCTCCTCGTACTCTGCTAAGTCACCCTTCTCTTGTATTTATTTTTGATTATGCCCTCCGAATCAGGTGACCAACATTTGTTGTCAGGTGCGGCACATCAAAAGCCACCACGGCCCTACTATGCTTGTTGTATATTTGCTGAGCCATTGCGCAACCTTGCATTTTTTTTTTTTTTTTTTTGCCAAGTCATGGAATGACAAGGATTTTAGCAAATCATTCCTCGGTTACAATATCACACCTGTACTAATGATAACAGTAGTGGGTGAGGTAATCTTTCAATAAGGAGCTGGCACATAAACAATCGCCACAAGAGTGGATGAGTGCTGACATCATAGTCAAGGCTGCTTGTCCCCACCTGAGACATCTATATGACCCACATTCTGGACAAATCTAGGAAAAAATGACCCTGTATTTTTCTAGGGATACTGTTACACAATACACTATCAGTTACACCTTCTAGTGTCCACTATAGGTATGCCATCTCCTTGCAAAAATGAATTATACACAATATTTGCTCTCTCTCTCAACTCGATTAATTAGCTGAGCTTCCTCAGGTTTTTTTTTTTGATCAACTGGCATAAATCATCTCAATTTTAATGGATTTTACTTTTGTTTTAATTCGACAAGTACACATCCAGATCTAAATTTACTATATAATGGATTTTTGTTTTTTTAATGAATTGGACCAATGTAAATTTCATTTGGACAGAATTGGACCCATGAAAGAGAGACATTAGGGGCATGCTTTCATCAAATCTCATTTTGACAGGTGCCACGCCCCTTTGACCTCTATTTACCCCCCCCACACACACACACACGCACACACACACACGCACGCACACACACACACACACACACACACACACACACACACACGCACACACACACACACACCTTCCCCCTCCCTCCCTTCCAGATGTCAGGATGTACCCCTCCTTAAATGAACATTTCTTAGACATCTATTATTCTTTGTTTTCTTGAAAGCTCCTATTGACTTCTTTTTAAGAGTAATACCAATACAACAACAGTTATTTAATCAAGAAAAATGTATATAATTATATACTATGCCTACTGAAGTTTAAATAGATTTGGAATGGAGATGTTACTTCTGATTCTGTGCCTGGCCTACGACTGGGGTCTGAGCTGGGGGCTTGATCAAATATAGGTACGGCCTGTGAAATCCCTTCGGGGGGTCGTTCTCAGTGACATATGGTCTGTGTGTTAGGTTTTTCTGTTTTCTCTGCTGAATTCAGAAAATGCCGTATATCTGACTTTCTTTTAAGAGTAATACAGCACCAACAACAGTTATTAAACCAAGTAAAATGTATATAATTATGTAGTAAAGCCTAGTGAAGTTGAAATAGATGCCGGAGATGTTGCTTCTGATTCTGTGCCTGTGTTCAGCCAGGCCTACAACTGGGGGTCTGAGCTGCGACACGCAGGGCCTGCGAGAGAAGGAATGTACTAGTTGCATACTTGCAAACTTTGCAGGATGCAGACAGAATGATAAATTAGCCACCTCGGGGATGGGGATTCAGAGCGATACAGAATGACAAATTAGCCACCTCGGGGGAATTCAGAGCAAGGCCCTCATGAACCCTGGTGGTTCATGAGGGCAGACCAGACCACATCTGGTTTTTTTTTTCTCAGTTTATCGCTCTTTGTCTAAAGAGTAATTACCTTCAGTTATCTGTGAGCGACACACGCTTCAGAGAGAATCAGAACTGCAGCATCAGTGAGAAGTCCGGCCGCAGCGGGTCAATGCAGAGGGGGGAGTGCTAATTGCCTTGTTGTGTGTCTGGGGCAGTCGTGAGGGAAAAAAAAAAAAAGCCCCTGCCCCCTGCAAATACATACGTCTAAAGAAAACCTGCTATTTAACTACATTATTTATGGTAGCATGACTAGTTAGTACTGACTACAAGTTTGTGATTTCTTTCATGCTTTCTCCAAAATAGTAAATGCGGTTTAAACACATTTGAAACTCATAGATTTTTCTGTAACACTCACTAGTGTGATACATTTCAGTAAATGTTTCTCATTTGTACATGTACTTCTTAAGAATATGTGACTGTTTGTAAGCAGGCCAACAGGAGGTTATTCAAATTAAACTTTTAACTTTCTTGGTTAAAGAATTTGTCCAGAATTTTCCAAAATTTATCCTCGCATCATTGTAAATGCTACTTTGGTTCAATTTTTTTTCTGCTGCTGAATCAACACTGATCTTCCCAGAGCTTCATGCTTTCTCCAAAATAGTAAACGCCGGTATAAACACATTTGAAACTCATACATTTTTCTCTGTAACACTCGCTAGTGTGAAACATGTCAGTAAAAGTTTCTCATTTGTAAATTTATTTCTTAAGAATATGTGACACTTATTAAACAGACCTTACTGAGGCTACTCATATTTAAGTTTTAGCTTTCCCCAGAGTTGAAAGTTTTTTTTTCTCTCTTTCTTTCTTTATTTTTTCTTAACACTGCGCAACTACGCTCCGACATGGTAAATTATTTTGTTACCTTTATCATTATCCACTACTTTTGTCTCTAACTTATATGCTGTATGTTTCTCGGCCCAAATGATGCTTTTTTCCTCCATCCATCATTTTATACACTTGAGTGTGTTCAATAACGAAATATAGTTGTTGAATTTTCCGTTACTGAAGCTTATAAATGATCAATGTAAACTTTCTGTCTGTATTCAGATAGTGAATACAATTCCTATTATTTAGAGTTGATGCGTGCACTTGGATTTCTATCAATTTATTGAATGATGGTCTGCGTAAATATTTATCAAACTGAATGGCCATTCAGGTTTCATATAATTTTTTTATTTTGGTTTCTGTTGCACAACTTCAAATATATGCTGGCTATCAACCAACCATTCAATCAGTGATTTTTTTTTCTTTTTTTAAAAAAATAACCCCTCTCACATCTTCTGACAACTAGCCCAACTTATAATAACATTAACTAAGTTTGCTAATGGTGCACTTTACCT